CTGAGGCGTGAGTATCCCTTGAGCCCAGGAGTTTGAGACTAGCAACATAATGAGACCCTGTCTCTATTTTTTAAATTTAAAAAACATAAAGGGCAGGTGCAGGGGCTCACGCCTGTAATCCCAGTACTTTGGGAGGCCAAGGCAGGCAGATCACCTGAAGTCAGGAGTTTGAGACCAGCCTGGTCAACATGGCAAACCTCCATTTCTACCAAAAGTACAAAAATTAGCTGGCCTTGGTGGCGCATGCCTGTAGTCCCAACTACTTGAGAGACTGAGGCAGGAGAATCACTTGAACCCAGCAGGCGGAGCCAAGATCGCACCACTGCACTCTAGCTGGGCAACAGGGTGAGACTTGGTCTCAAAAAAGAGAAAACAAAAAAAACCCAAACATATATATACAGAGAGAGACCAGCCTGGGTAACACAGGGAGGCCCAGTCACAAAACAAAAAAACAAAACAAAAAACAACAACAAAAAACTGATCGACAATATAGAAGCAAAAATGGCACTAGGAAAACGCAGAGTTCTTACAAGCAGTTCAAGTATACCTGCCTCAAATACATTAGTTCATTTAAAAGAAATCTATTCATTCATTACCAAATTACTGAATGCCTAATATGTGCCAGGCGCTGTTATAAGTATTTAGGAAACACCAATTAAAAAAAAAATTGGCCAGGCACGGTGGCTCACACCTGAAATCCCAGCACTTTGGGAGGCAAAGGCAGATGGATCACGAGGTCAGGAGATCAACACTATCCTGGCTAACACGGTGATACCCCCGTCTCTATAAAAATACAAAAAATTAGCTGGGCATGGTGGAGGGCGCCTGTAGTCCCAGCTACTCGGGAAGCTGACATAGGAGAATGGTGTGAACCCGGGAGGCAGAGCTTGCAGTGAGCTGAGATCACACCACTGCACTCCAGCCTGGGCAACAGAGCCAGACTCCTCAAAAAAATAAAAAAATAAATAAATCCCCTTTCCTCTTTTCTATCTAGTGGGAGAAGACAGATGATAGACAATGTAACTTTTTAACTTGTGTTAGAAAGTAACAAATGGTATTGGGAGGGAAAAACAGAATAGGGTGAGAGGGACTTCCAGGGTATTAGGGCAGGTTGCACTTTCAAATAGGGTGGTCAGAGAAGGTTTAAGGTGGCATTTGAGAAAAGACTTGGAGGAGGTGAGGGAGTCAGTCAGCCATGAAATCTGGGGAAGAGTACTCCAGACATAATAAGGAGAACAAAGGTCCTAGAATAGCAATGAGGCCAGGGAAGCTGGAGGGAAGACAACAAAGGGGTTAGCTGTAGGTGTCAAGGGACATGTGTGGAAACAAGGGGTACAGATTATGTACGGTTTATGGGATACTATAAGGAATCTGATTTTTACTTTGAATGAGACAAGGATCCACAGAGGGTTGGGCAGACTGTAGAGTTCAGTTTTTAAAAAATATGGCTGTTGTGTTGAGGACAGGCCTTAGCAAGTACAAGAGTAAAAGCAGGGAGACCAGTCAGGAGGCTACAAAAGAAACCATGGAAAGAAATATGCACTTCCTACAAACTTGGATCATAATGGTGCAAGGGGTTTACTTTTAGGCAAAAATAAATAAAAACAAATTTGTCAGATGTTAATAGGAAATAAATGGAACTGGCTCTTGTCATTATATGTACATTGTACAAATAAAGCAGCAAACAAGGACATCTTTTAACTTCTCACCTCAAGAGAACATGTTCCTTTACAATCAGCTATTCACTGTTAATTACATACAATTTGTTGAAAAGGTTACTTTTATCAACTGAAAGTACTATAAATCTGCTGTGTGAGGTAGCTCATGCCTGTAATTCCAGTCTTTGGGAGGCTAAGGGAGGAGGATCACCTGAAGCCAGGAGTTTGAGGCTGCCAAGTGACCAATCCACTCTAACCTGGATGACAGAGGGAGATTCCCAACTCAAACAAATGAATAAATAACTTTGGATTGCTGTTTCTCAGATCATCTAAAATAACCATTCCTAAAACAGATCTTATTTCTTTGGGGGTGGGGGACAATACTTTTCCTCCAAAAGTTTCTTTTTATGCTTCCATCTTTTAAAGTAATTTTCTTCCAATTGATACTGAATTTGTATATTAGTCTGCGTCATTCACTTCACGAAAGCGCAACCATAAAAAACTTCCACTGTCAAAAATATAACATTTCCAAAAAAAGTTCCTTCATGACACCAAAAACCCCTCATCTCTCATCATCACCTAGTTCTTCTGGAAAAGGCAAACACACTTTCCATAAACTCTAGTACCTTTAATAGTACAATTATCATAAGGATACGAGAAAGAGAACAAGTCAAAGATATTCAATTTGCCTGGAAAGAAAGGGGATAGGAGGCAGGAGAATTGCTTGAGGCCAGGAGTTCAAGACCAGCCTAGGCAACATAGGAGCCCCTGTCTCTATTTTTTTAAAAAAGAAGGGGGTGAGGGTAGGGAGCATAAGAGATTTTAAAATAAAAACTTCAGGCCAGATGCAGTGGCTCACATCTATAATCCCAGCACTTTGGGAGACCGAGGTGGGTGAATTGCTTGAGGTCAGGAGTTCAAGACCAGCCTGACCAACATGGTGAAACCCTGTCTCTACTAAAAGTACAAAAATTAGCTAGGCGTGGTGGCACGTGCCTGTAATCCCAGCTACTCAGGAGGCTGAAGCAGCAGAATCACTAGAATCCGGCAGGCAGAGGTTGCAGTGAGCAGTGAGATCATGCCGCTGCACTCCAGCAAGGGCGACAGAGCGAGACTCCGTCTCATTTAAAAAAAAAAAAAAAAAGTGAAATAAGCACTCTTGTTGTAGAGTAAATATAGAGGGGAAAGAGAGTGAAGGATAAACATAGCTTGCTTGCTTCATTCAAAGGTACTTATAAAGACACCCAGATTCAGCTTTGATTTTTAAGAGACTACCCTTGTGACAACTTACTTTGGAAAAAATAGTCGTGTAAATACAGAAAATACTAAATTCAACTTCATTAATTAATTCAACATTTAGGTGCTTATGTGCTAGAAACTGAGCGAGGGGAGAGTCCTTGTTCTCAAGGGCTTTTACTTGTAATCTATCTCCCGGTTACTGAGTACCTACTGAGGCAGATGCGAGGGATACAACAGCAAACCGGCAACACAGATTCTCTACCTTCATGCAGCTTGTACTGAAGGAGGCGAATGCAAGGATGAGACACACATCTAACAAAGATACAACACTAAAGTGTTAGAGATATTGCTTATGGAAGTGTAGAGGTTTCAGTGGGGACGCAAGGGATTCGGGCTGGGAGGAAAGGGAATGCTGGGACTTCAAATATGAAAGCTGAGTTCTCAAAGAGGATTAGATGTCCACCTGGCTGACCTGGGGGAAGGGCTCCAAGCAGACAGGAACTGGAGCAAAACAAAGGTGTGAACAGCGTGTTGTATTTGGTAGGCCTGGAATACAGAATGTAAGAGAGAGAAGTTACGGAGGCTTCTGTATACCACAATCAAGACTGGACCTTACTGGTATATACGAAATGCCCCAGAAAAATTTTATTCAGAAAACCAGCATACATGATGAGGTTTTTCTGGTGTGATGAGACATTGGTTTACACAGGAATGAGAAAAGAAAATACTAGATAATGATGTCATCACATGAAACAACAAAGGAGCCTGCCCAGTCAGAACACTAAACTCTTCAGGAAAAAATTAAGTACTACTACTAACTGAAGCCCTCTGGAAAAGGTTGTATTCAGTATCATCTAAAACGAAAAAAGTACAGGAAAGGTTTTCAAACATATATTGTGGATTATGACATCCACATACCTATTTAGAGTTTAAGAGGTCTTCACTCGAATTCTGCAACACATCTGGGACTACTGATTGTTGTACAAAAAGCAGTAAAACATATTCAGGAGAGTCTTTGATACAAAGGGAGAACACGCGTAACCGAAGGAATTTCCCAAGCTAGGTTTAAAGGTTTCCAAAGTTGAAGCTAATCAAGTTTTCTTAAGTCAGCACGTTTAAAAGGTGTGTCATAAGGGTGGAGCAAAAGGAGGAGGGATTAAAATTTATATATATATATATATATATATAAAAAAACAAGTAACTCGATGTCGCTAGGGTTAAAATCACCACTTGGAGATCCGTCTCCCAAGCAGAGGCAGAAATGAAGACCTGCCAGATCCAATTAACAAAAAGACGAGGGAGGGGGTAAGAGGATGACCACACATGAAAACATAAATGGGGCGGGGGGGGGGGGGGTGCTTGGCAACCACCTATCCAGAACCCATAATCCAGTTGGCGGTGCGATGAGGAAATCATACGATTCAGACATAAAGGCAGGAAAATGTCACTCCCAAACTCCACAAGCGAACCACCAGACACTGGCCAAGGGGATGTGATCACATACTCTGATCCCAGAACTCAAGGGCAGAGAGTATCATCCCCACACGGTGCCCGAGGGGAGGCGAAGAATCAACCCTCTGAGAACAGAGAGCAAATGCCCTCAGATCCAGCCCTAAGGGGGTCAATGCCGCCCAGGCCAGGCCTTGCCGAAGCCAGGGGCAGAGATGGCCCCGAAGCCCCCTCAACCTCCACCAGAGCTGCCTCTACTTGCTCCCCCCAACACACACCCTCCCCTACCTGATATGGCGGCGGCGGCTCCTGATCCGGCTCCGTCCCCTCGCCAAAGCTAGCCCGGTCAGACTGAGACTCGTGAAGCAGGGAGATGTCATCCGAGGTGGGGGATTTGAGGCAGTTCCCCATCTTCCGGAGCTGGGGTGCGTGATCTGGGGGAGGAGAAAGCAGCGGTGGGGTCGTTCGCACGCTCCGCGGTCCGCCTCGGTTGGCAAGGTGGGGTCGGGCGGCAGGCCGGGGATCAGGCGGAGGCGACTCCACCGCCCCACGGTGCCGCCAAGGGGGTGCTCATGCCAGCCCCCGGGGGTGGGGGCTCAAGGCTGGGCCGCGGGCTCCGCTGGGGTCGCGGCGTTTGCCTCCTGCGAGGCGGCAATGGGGGGGGGGGGCGGGGAGACGAAGCACTTCCCCACCCCGCCCCCCCGCGGGGCGGCGGCGGCCACGGAGCTGCTGGGCCTAATCCAGGTCAGCAGGGGGGGGCGCGGCCGTCGCGGCTGCCTCAGCTGCTGCCTCAGCTGCTGCTGCCCCCGCCGACGCCAGAGCCACGGCCGCGGGCCTCATCCTACTCCGCCTCAGCGCGGCAGTGGCGGCCAGAACGAGGCCGGCTCGGCCCTGCGTCATCGCGCCGTGCGTGCTCTGGTTCCGCCCCCGGCGGCAGGAGGCGAGGGCGGCTCCGGCGGCTCCGGCGGCTCCCATCCCCCCTCCACCAGCAGCTGTTACCCGTCCTGCGTCAATTTTTGCTTGTCTCTGACTGCTTGGCTCCGTACCTGACTCCGAAACCAATCTCCCGTCTCCCGCGCCAACCCACATTCGTTGCTCCCGCCCCGTCTAAGGCTCAGTTCTTACCTGTGCACTGCCTGACAATCTTCTCACCACCCTCCACGAGGCGGTCTATTTATATAAACCCATATCGGAATGGATCAGGCCCATGATTAAAATGTTAAAAGGCTTCCCCTTTATCGCATCAGAATAAGGTCCTAGCTCGTTAGTGAACCCTCCCTACCTCTCCAGTCATGTCCTTATCCTCCCACATCACAGCCGGAGAGATTCTTCTTCCAGTTGTATATCAGATTGTTCATTTCTTTCCAGTCCCAGTACCAAAGTCCAAGCCACCATCATCTCTCACCTTGACTTCTGCAATAGACTCTCAGCTGTTCCTGAGTTCATCATTACCCACATCCAATTCACTGTTGGCACAGTTGACAGAATTATCTTTTTAAAATTTGAATCGGATCGTGTCATTCTCCTGTTAAAACCTTCAATGTCTCCCCAAGGCTGTCCTTAAAACAATCCCTAAATGGTTTACAAATCTGACTTCCTTTCAATCTCATTATCAGCATTGTCACCTCTTTCTCAAATTCTAAACTAGGCTCTCAAATGCTTTTGGTTATCTGGAATACTATTGCCTCTGCCTGGGGCCTATGTCCGTATTGTTTCTCTCACGGAAACCCGCTTCTCTCCACTCCCAACCTTTCTGCTTCTTATCAGGCTAATCATTATTCTCAGGAATCCTTCTGGATGCAACTTCATTTCCCCTGGGGAGACTCTCCTGACCCTCCAGTCTGGGTTAGTCGCTCTCACACAGCCCGATCAAGCTGAATCATCTGTCCCTCTGTGCAAGGCTGGCACACTGCCCAAGGTAGAGTATGCTCTCTCCTTGGTTCAGTGAACAGCTCAAACAACATATGCAAAAGAAGGAAGCAAGGATGACAGTGCTCCTGATAGACGTTCATTCAACAGGCGGTCTTGACTGCCTTTCGTTTTATTCATCATTTACTGAATTTGTGTGTGCGTGTGTATACCAGAATCCACGCTAAGGACTGGGGAAAAGGATGATCACACCTGGCTTGTTGCTGATAGAGCCCAGAGACCACCTGGGAAGACAAGTAATCGGATGAGTCCTAAGCCCACACCCTGCCACGGACCCTAAGGTTTTTAGAGGAACCAGAAGACAGCAATTAGTTCATTTGAGGAACTGAAAGGATTCTTAGAGGTAGGGCTATATTAAACTTGAATGGGTCTGAGCACTCTTACTCTGCAGTCCCTATTCTACGAAGTCACTATCTTATTTAAATGCACTCAAATTTTTGATATAAAATTTTTGAAAAGACTCATAATTTTGGGCCGGGTGTGGTGGCTTAAGTCTGTAATCCCAGCACTTTGGGAGGTTGAGGCAGGTGGATCACTTGAGGTCAGGGATTCGAGACCAGCCTGGCCAACACGGTGAAACCCCATCTCTACTAAAAATACAAAAACTAGCCAGATGTGGTGGTGCACACCTGTAGTCCCAGCTACTCTGGAGGCTGAGGCAGGAAAACTGCTTGAACCTGGGAGGTGGAGGTTGCAGTGCAGTGAGCGGAGATTGTACCACTGCACTCTAGCCTGGGTGAGGGAGTGTGTAAGACTTAGTCCCCCCCAAAAAAAAGGAAGGAGAAAGAGAAACACAGAGAGAGAGATGGGAGGAAGGAGGGAGGAATGAAGGAAAGAAGGAAGAGAGAGAAAGAGGAAAGAAAGAAAAGAAGAAGGAAGGAGGGAAAGGAAAGAAGGAAGGAAGGAAGAGACAGAAGGAAGAAAAGGAAAGAAAGAATGAATTGACTCATGATTTTGGTTTTGGAATTGTTGAGCTTCCGGGAACTCATTTAATTTATGACTGGCTAAATTTAGCAGAAATCAGAGGTACTCTGGAATTTTTACAAAGTCAGAAAATTTATCCCACAAATTATTATCACACCTAAAGAAATTTTTATTAATAATAATTTATAAAATTATTTGACAAAATATTTACACAGTGCTAGAATTTGTAGACATTGTTTGTTTGTTTTTGGAGACAGGGTCTCACTCTGTCACCCAGGCTGACTTGATCGAGGCTCACTGCAGCTTCAACCTCCTGGGCTCAGGTGATCCTCCAGGCCTCTTCAGTAACTAGAACTACAGGTGCATGCCACCATGCTTTGCATTTGTTTTTGTTTTTGTTTTTGGTAGAGATGAGGTCTTGCCATGTTGCCCAGGCTGGTCTCGAACTCCTGGGGTCAAGCAGTCCTCCTGCCTCAGCCTCCCAAAGTACTGGAATTACAGGCGTGAGCCACTGTATGCCTGGCCAGACATAGATTTATTTATTTAGTTTTAATTTTTTTTTTTAACTTTTGAGACAGAGTTTCACTCGTGTTGCCCAGGCTAGAGTGCAATGGTGCAATCTTGGCTCACCGCAACATCTACTTCCCTGGTTCAAGCGATTCTCCTGCCTCAGCCTCCGAATAGCTGGGATTACAGGCATGCACCACCACACTTGACTAATTTTTTCTATTTTTAGTAGAGATGGGGTTTCACTATGTTGGCCAGGCTGGTCTGGAATTCCTGACCTCAGGTGATCCACCCACCTTGGCCTCCCAAAGTGCTGGGATTATAGGCGTGAGCCACCTCGCCAGGCCAGATTTATTTTAAGTTTTGTTTTTCATACTTTTTTCCCACAGGTGGATAACACTGACACAAGCTCTTGAAAAGTTCTATAGTGCCTTGTGAAAAGAAGTGATATTGCTAAGTCTAAAACTAGCTTGGGCTGGGCGTGGTGGCTCACGCCTGTAATCCCAGCACAGGCAGGTGGATCACAAGGTCAGGAGTTCTAAACCAGCCTGGCCAATATGGTGAAACCCCATCTCTACTAAAAATACAAAAGTTAGCTGGGCATGGTGGCATGCACCTGTAATCCCAGCTCCTCGGGAGGCTAAGGCAGGAGAATCGCTTGAACCCGAGAGGCGGAGGTTGCAGTGAGCTGAGATGGCGCCATCGCACTCCAGACAGAGTGAGACTCCGTCTCAATAAATAAACGAACAAACAAACAAGTTTGGTTGTTTGCCAGAAGATGGGAGGAGCATTTGAAGCCCATTAATGGCTTGGACATGGTCCCTGCCTTCAAATAGCTCAAACTCAAGTAGATGAGACAAGTAGGTGAACAGTTAGCAGGGCTACATTCAGATCTTTATTCTACTTTTATTTTTAACTTTTGCTTCCATGAGCATGTATATATTACTAACTCACAAAGGTACAGCTTTAGACCTCTACGTCTGGTGAGAGAATAACTGTTGCATATTCCCTTGAGTTCAGGGGAAATGACATTTTAGAAAAGGTGAATGGTTATTGACCATTATTTTCTTGTGGATGAGTAAAATACCAGCTACAATTTTGACATAGCTTAAAAAAATGATAGAAATGGTCTTTTTTTTTTTTTTTTTTTTTTTTTTTGAGATGGAGTCTCACTCTGTCACACAGGCTGGAGTGCAGTGGCACAATCTCGGCTCACTGCAACCTCCACCTCCTGGGTTCAAGTGATTCTCATGTCTCAGCCTCCTGAGTAGCTGGAATTATAGGCGGGGGCCATCATGCCCAGCTAATTTTTTGTATTTTTAGTCAAGATGGTGTTTCACCATGTTGGTCAGGCTGGTCTCGAGCTCCTGACCTCAAATGATCCACCTGCCTTGGCCTCCCAAAGTTCAGGGATTTCAGGCATGAGCCACCATGCCCAGCCATGTGGTCTTGATAATAATGAATAAAACTACCAGAATAAAATTGTGTCTATCACTTATGTAGTGCTTCCTATGTGTAAGGCATTGTCCTAACTGCTTTACTTCTGTTCAATTAATGCTAATTAAATGATCTGCAGAGTGACTAGGACCTAACACAGTCATGGCTCTTTTGGATACTCACAAGCTAATCAGATGTGAAAATAATAGGCCCAAGTTGAATAATAGTCATCATAGCAAACACTTATAAAACACTCTCTGTATGACGGCATGTGTTTTATTTGCCCTTTCTGGTAATTCATTCAACCCTCAAAACTCTATGAAATGGACACTACTGATATCCCCATATTACAAATGATGTAAGATATAAACATGTGCTAGAGTTGGTTCATACTAGCTCATATGAGCCAATTGTTAGAATTTCGGGAATTGTGTGACCTAGTTGTTAAACATAGTCATTATTAAAAATTAAATTATATAAACTTACAGTTAAATAGGTATATTAAAAACAAACAATAAATACCCAAAACTAATGGCTAACTACTTTACTGTATTTCACTATTGTCTGTATTATTGAGGTTATTTCCTTCTAGTGTATCTCTGTGGTAGAAATACTTTATAATGACAAGCCGCTGAACATCTCTCCCTAATTCTGTGTTTAGTGATGCCAGATTGGTAGCTTGAAATTGCCCATGGTGAGAGTATTTATACCTTGGAAATCAGCAAATGTAACAGGACTTGATTGTTTTGTTGATTGTCTACACTTAACCAAGTGACTCCAATTCCAACCTGGCATCCTACATTCTAGCTGCATCACAGTGCTTTCCATAGCCTTGACTTTCAGTATGCCTTTCCACCTCTATCCTCTAACTTTTGTCATGCTGTTACCTTCTGTTAAAATCAAGCATCTTTTAAGATTTTCAGATTCTTTTATAATTCATAAACGTGCATGTGTGAGATGTGCCACCCTGGAACCTTGTTACGACGCCAGCACATTATGGGTCTGACATGAAAAAAAAATTATCCTGAAATACCACCTTCTTCATGAGGCTGTCTCTGATTTCATTCAGTTGGAATATATGCAATGATAAAAAAAAAATGGGATCTATTATAATATTATGTATGTCTACTGCTAATCGTACATGAATATTTTAACACAATTTTTTCTTATTTATTTATTTATTTTTAGAGACAGGGTCTCCCTCCATCACC